TTTAAACTCCCCCACCCCCCCCCCCCTTAATCAGGTGATCTCCCGGTAAATCCAATGGTTCTCTCTTTTTATTATTCTTTTTGGGTTGTGGTAGTGGTGGGTGGTAGTTGAATACCCTCTACAGAAAAAAAAATAAAACTAGACAAGGGGCCTTTTGGCAGCCCGCGAATCCCTCACATCATGCGGCACCGGCAGCCCCGCCCGGCGGACCTCCTCCGCTGCGAGGTCCTCAGCTCGTCCGAGCAGGACAGCCTCCTTCGCTATTTCGCCGACGGCCTGCGAGGGAGCGCGGGGCTTTTGCGCGTCCTGGCCTGCCTGCACGCCGCCCTCGCCGTCGTTTACGCGGGGCTTCTCCTCGCCGGCCTCCTCACGGCCTCCGCGGCGCTGGGGCCGGCGGCGCGGGCCGGGATCACCCGGCTTTTCCCCCAGCCCGATTCCCTGGATTCCCTCGGCGATCCTGGGCCGCGCGAGACGGGGGAGTTCGTTCGCTCAGGGGGAATGGGGTGCGCCGTTTTGCTGCTTTTGGCGGGGGGGGCCGGGTGCTGGCAGGCCTGCCTCGCCCTCCGCGTGCGGACGGAGGAGCTGCTCCAAATCCTCCCGCGGCGCTCCCGAGGGGACAGGACGGCGCCGGCCTCGCCCCCGCGGCAACCCCGAGCACGGCCGGGGCGCCGTTGGGGGGATTTAAAGAGCCCGCATTTCCACTACGGGCTCTCGTGGTGTGCGGCCGCGCAATCACTGGTGGGGGCCGTCGTCCTGGCGAAATCAAACCGCGCATCGAGGGAGGTCTACTACCGCATTGACCCATCGCTCGCCCCCAAGCTGTGGTTTGGTATGGCGAACAGCTTGGCGGAAATTATTATTCTGTTTTGGCAGCCTTTTTTTCATTGGTTTGTCGGCTCGATGATTCGGTCTATGTATGCCACCAAAGAAGACCTAATTTCATTGGCTAAGTCGCGTTATGTTTTTGAAAAGCTGTGATAGCACGGATGACCAATCCTTAACATTTTTTTCTCGCCCTTCTTGTATGTTTGGGAAATAACTATAATGCCATCAATTTGAGGTGACTGTGCAACGAATAAGAAACAAAAGAAAGATCGAGGCATAGGCATCTAAGTCTTTCAAAGTTGTCCACTTGGTTTTGTTAATAGACAAGGCGAATTTGGCTTTCTACCTGCTTTACAATTTCGACAACAATATTTGAATGTGAAACTT